TAACACACATCATTGAACCTTGATTATTTTAAAAATATTATTTACTTCCCCTACCCATGTGTCTCTATTTTTAAAAAAATTAGAATTTTTGATTTCGGATATAAATATTTTTGAAAATCACTCTATATATAAATATTATGGTCATTATATATATATATATATCTTACATTTTAGTAAAATGGATTGATTATAAAATAGAAATAGAAAGTATGCGGTTGGTGCTGATAATTTTCTCACTGTTATGCTATAATAAAGAACTAAAAAAGGTATCATTATTTTGTTTGAAAACTTGCTGAACTTTTACTATCTTTTTGGTACAAAAGATAAACACTTTTGGGATTTAAACTTCTTATACTGGTATAGCTATAATTATGACTTATCAAAATCGAATTTTTTATATTTTGTGACTTGTGAAAATGTATTTCAATATAGTTACTATGCGTTTTAGAAGTTTTATCTTTTACAAAACAAATGATTTTAGTGAAGAAACATTAAGTTGTGTTGACCAATAATAATCAATGTACACAATTCCAAGTTTAATGATAAAACATGTTTTCAGCTGTCAACAATGTTGTTATAATTTATAAACGACTAATTTTGCCTCACTAAGTCTTAGATTAAACTAAAAGTATTTAAATATTATTCAATTTTAAGCAATGTATTATTTTTGTTATTTTAAGTCATTACACATTTTTGAATAAGTAATTTTTAATTTAAACACGTTTTCTGAACTCAAACGCCAGATTAAATATTATAATAATAATTCAAGAACAAAGCTGCAGTCTTTCCGTCGTTGGCAAAGATTTTGTTTTTGAAATGAAAATGTTCTGAATTGAAAAATGTCAGACGCTGGTAGACAAAAAAAGTTTGCTAATAAAATCAGGCGCGGAAACATGACATCATATTGTACATTTGTACACATTTTATATCGAAATAGGGGATCGCAGGATTGTTGAAATAAGATTTTATTTTTATTTCCATTTTGTACCACTCAATGTCGTATTTATATTAGATATTGTCGGCTTTTGAGATTTCTGAATAATCTGAAATTGGTTATGGTGCATTTCTGGAGCATATATTATATGGTATATAATGTATATCTAATATTATCATATGTTATTGCATTACAAGTCAACGTGGAAACATATTCTGCCTACTATTATATAATTTAGGTAAGCTTATACGCGTTGAGAGAAAACAAACATAATATAATAATGATATGACAGTATTATATCAAAATCGAGTGGCCCATTATTTCTACGAGAAGAAGCTGCTGGCGGCAACAATGGCGGATTTGCAGTATAGAGAAAAAGCACGAGACCATAATATTATTATTATTATTATTAACGTCGTAACTATAATATAATAATATGATAATGTATTATGTACATAGTAGAACAACTACTATGGTTTTGGTAAATAAGAATAGTGTATACTATACTAGAGTCTAAGTCGAGGTCTTCGTATTCAAGGTAGATATATAGGGTATACACTCAAAAGATATATCGGGAAAGATAGACCAAAGGCCGCGGGACGACGAGGTACATATATTAAGAAGTATGTACCATGAAAATTGGCTCTATACACATGAATGGAGCATATTATTATATAATATGAAAGCAGCCGTAATAGGATTTGCAAAAAATAATCCGAACGCAATACGTACGTACGGAGTAATTCACCAAGTATGCTCACCCCCATATTTTCTTTTAATAATTTATTCATTCAAATATTCTGATTTTTTGAATTTTTAAATATAGGCACCTACTCAATAACAATTTTTTATGATTCTTGAATTTGTTGTACTTTACTTTATAGGAGTGTTTGTCATAATATACATACTTCTTCTTTTTAAAAGAGAACATTCCTTTTTCTTAAATTATTTAGTGGATGATTTTTTTGAAAATTTTGATTTATTCAATTCGAAATTTGAACGAGTAGTCTCCCAGTAGTTAAAATGTTTGTATTCCGGAAAACAATCCTTAAAAATTTTTTTACAAAAATATAAAATATAATATATAATATTATATTGGATCTACTATTCATTATACTTGGGGCATTTTATTAATGTTAATAGATTAATATTAATCACCAAAATGTTATACCACTATAGTCTCCAAATTTTACAAATACATTATCATGGACCTATTATCACAAAGATATATAACTCAAAAACTACTCCTACAAATTATGGTTATGATACGTCGACGTTTTTAGGAAAATTATTCACTAAATAATTTACAGTAGAAAAGAGGTAGTTCTCATTTAAAAAATACAAGTTTGTATCTCCACAGCATAATCTCAATAATTAGAACAAAAAATCTCAATAATTTTAAAATAAATGATCTTTAAGTATATTTAAAAATTTCAGAATCAGATTTCGAATAACCGAATTATTGAAGAAAACAAATGGGGTGATTACTGAGCATGCATGGTTAATCACTTTGTATAGGTCTCACGATGTTCGAAAGCAAAATTATCGAACACGTTATTCCATATAATATTATATATTGTACGTGTGTGCACTGAGTAGCAGTATAATAGGATAACAATTCTGCACAAGCATAATCATTTATCCTGCATGAGCAATGGATTATAAATATTAGAAAAAATCGAAATTTATGAACCAACTGTCTGGTTAGTTATTGAGTAATAATTCAGCTTGAATGAATTTTATCTTCGGTTTTTATTTAATATTCACTATGCGCACGTTTAACAAATAACACGTGGATACGCATATTACGTTACATTATGATATTATTTTATTATGTAGGTATACACCTACATTTTACTTAAAAAATGAAAACAAATAGTCTCGTGAGTGTAGGTTGTAGGTACTTGGTGAAAATACATCATACAAGTTCGTGACATTTAAATTTAATTTTTAAAATATCGTGTTTGCAAATTAAATTTTTGATTAATAACATAGTTATATATTTTTAAGCCAACGCAATACTCTTATTGTCACGTAGACTTATTCCACATTACATTACGTTGTATAGATTGTGTATGTTATCTTTTAAATAAAAAAACATATTTTATAATAAACATATTAACAATAAATACTCATTGTGAAAATCAAAAAAAAAACAGTTGCCCTGCACCAAATTCGACTTCAGTAAACGTAAATACAAATGTTTAACATACATTTAAAAATATTTTTTAACAAAAAATGTTTACGTACTACAGACAAACTAATGTAGTAATGTCAAAGTTTTTTCAAATTGGTGTCTCTGTAAAACCTTGTCCTATTTTTTGCAGAACATAATATTATGTGTTTCGATATTTTCATGTACAAGGATTTTAGTTAATTAATTATAATATAATATTATTAAAATAAAATAAACCTTTCAGAAAATATGTAATTTTATTACTAATTCATTTCAAAAAAACATGGTCAACCCTCAAGTAATTTACATGATGGAAAATATGATGAACAATGGAAAATACAATATTGTAACATTTTAATAACAAAAAACTAAAAATTTGATAATAATAGAACAATTTGTTAAAGGCGTTGTCATGTCTATCTGTCATATTTTTTTGGCTTGGTAAGTATGTTCAGCTACATAGATTTCATATTTTTGTATACACATACAAATTAATGATCTTAATATTATTAATAGAACAATTGTTATTTATTTAAAAGTGTTTGCTTATTAAAATTAATCATAAAAATAACTTAATATTGTTCATAATATACAATACGAGTAGACATTAAATTGCATTATTTTCTCAATTAGTGGATGAAAAAAATGCTGTTCACCATTTTATACTGCATATTACCTGTACTTATTTACTGAAATATAAATACTGAACTCACTTCAAAATTACATTGAAATATTATCCTTAAATAAATAAAGTGAAATTAGTTTTCATACATAATATTTTTGTAGTTATTCGGATTACTCGACATTACGAACTAATATTTTAAAAATATATAAATTAAAAAACTTTTTCAGTATACTTTGGAAGTTTGGACGGTACACCACATACATATAATTTTTTGTGTAATTACCTACTATTATATGAATGTTGTAAAAATCAAACTATTCATATACCAAATTTCAAATGTGAAATTAATATCAAGACGCTAAGGTTATTTTCATTCGTATTTGATACTATAATAAAATAATATATAAAACTACTTTATAAATCATCGGTGTTGGTATCAATATATTTAAATATATATATCTTACTAGCTGTCCCGTCACGGCGTCGCCCGTGTATTATGTAGCTATATGAAAAAACCTTTTTTACCCCCTTAGAGGTCGAATTTTGAAACATCCTTTCTTAGTGCACCCCTACATTGCTCAAGGGACCTCTGTACAAAATTTCAAGTCTCTATACCCCAGCGGTTTGGTCTGGGCGTTGATGAGTGAATAGAGGCGGTCTCCTATATGTATATAGATTACCAACCACTTAAATAATAACCAACACTCCGTATCATTCTGTAATTCTGTATACATAGTGTTATCATTTCATGCAATGCAAATATATCAACCGATCTGCTGAGCAGACTCAAATATAAAAACATATATTTTTTTTAGTTAAATATATAGAAATAAACTACCAAGGCATGTTAATAAGAGCAAGCAGATAGTATAATCTATTTTAATAAATTGTGTATTACAATTATTGTTTATTAAAGATTTTATTAGTTGTTACTTTTGAATGCAATAATCATCATTACATGATTTTTATTAATAATCGTCAAAATATGATTAATAGTTAAGACGAAATGTTAACATGGTGTTCATAATACTCCCTGTACAAAACATTGTGCAACGCAATCAATACAAATTTAAATGAAAAGGTCAGTTGTACTTGTTTAAACAGGTAATTCTTATTATAACAATTTATTATAATGAACAAAATAATATTTTTTCTCTCTTTAATCTTAACTCGACGTTTCCACCGATATCTTCGTCAGTTATTTATAATATATTATAATATACATGTTTTAGCTAAATTTATGATATTATATATTTTCTGCCCACCTTTTTTTTCATTATCGTGCAGTCACATGTCGAGACGCTCGTATTGCCTACCAACATATTAATGTACAGGTATACCACATAAGATAGAGGCGGTATTACAGTAATCCCGGTTTATAACAGAAGGTAATCGAAACTCGTCGTCAGTCGTCAAGGTATTAAAGTCGAATTTCTTTTACACACGCTCACGATCTTATAAAAACGAAAATAAAATGTTATTAATCACATATCGAATCGGTCGTCTTCTTTACGGATCTCGTGTCATTGCGTCTATACTCGCGAGCATAATAAATAATAGCTAAATAAATAATAAAGCTCGACGAAACGAGTTTTATTGTACAGATATGATTATGATTATAATACGTAATACGTATTACACAATTATTATTAATATTATGCTAGAAATCTACAGACACGTCCGAAGTTATCCATTTCAAATGGTCGTTCGCACGTTACTAGCGTAGTGAAGATGCCCATTGATGAAGCCCGCGTCCCCCCCACCACCGATTTGGCAAACGCAATCCTCTCTCTATTTTTGCAGCCAATGCACATCTCTTCCCTAACTAGCGGCGACATCATTATTGTTATTAATATGCAAAGTGTTTATCGACTGTGAACAGTAGTTGACGAACACTTGGCAGCACCGCCCGATTTTCGCTTGTTTTTATCACTTTATTTTACGAACACATAATATAATATATATATATGTACATAATACGTGTATATACATCACAGTCATCGTGTATACGTATAATCTCTCACACGTACATTGCAAAGTGCAAATCAGCTGCGCTTTAATAGGGCCAAGGAGATTTTTTTCTGTGACGCGAATTATTATATACTATATAAGACGTTTAAACGTCTATTAATAATGGACGGGGGAAAAAAAAAATTTTTCGTTCATTTTTTACACTCTCTCGCTCGTAAACTAGCGCTCAAACTGCAAGTCTGAGCGTATTTTCTCAGGCTTTCCTTGCGGAGCGATTTATGCATAATTCATGCGATGTAAAGGGGAGGGCTGTCCGAAATTACAAGTATTCCCTTTTTGTTTTTCCTCGGAAATTAATGTTAACGAATTCAAAACAGAGCTGGAATGCAGCGGAGAAAAAATTATTGTTGTTTAACTTTATTGAAAAATTATATTTTCGTATTAAACGTATATATAGTTTTGCATAATAGCCTTGTTGTGTAAAGTGTGTTGTCTGATAGGGCGGAAACAAATTTATTTTTTACTTTTATAAGATAAATATGAGTTACATAAATAACGAGCACTGCAATTATTTCCAATACTATTTCATCAAAGTCAGTATGGATAGCTAAGTTAAATGTAATAAAAAAATACAACATAATATAATGCACAAAGATTAATTACCTATCGTGATTTTTTTTTGTTAATTTTTGATTACAATATTGTTTTATTATTATTTTTTGATAGTTTTAAAAATTTTTAATATTAAATTGGATTCTGTTTGTGAAAAGGGTGCAAGCCCACTTTTGGTTTGTACATGCAAGTTTTGTAGAAAATGTTCTGCCCCGTAGATTGGTGAGTGGTGACACATGAATACATGACTTAATACATGAACTGTTATGCACAAGTCGCAAATAAAAATCTTCACTGTTTTCAAAAAATGTTTTCAAACCATGACAAAAAACTTATTATCCGTGTATTACATTAAAAATGGACTACAACATCTGCCTTATATTTCGAATTAAAGCTACTGAATTTTCAATTAATTAACATACATATACTTTATGGATCATGGACCATGCGATGCGATAATAATTATTTGTAATAGATACTATAAAGCTATTTTGGTCCATCCTGGTGGATATAAATATCGGTTAATATCGTTTTTTTACAAATTCAAAAATACGATTTTGTGATAAAAGCTTCAGGTAAATCTCTCCTGCAGATTGTGTTACATATTGTTTCTTCTGAAAAAACAACAAATTTTGACGTAAATACCCTTTCTCACTGCAAACGCCGTACAATCCCATTACGAAATTCTATTTTTGAGGAGTGTTTTGTTGATCTACAGACAACAATCGTGATACTATTATAATACTCAAATCTTAGAATTTAAATGACCACAAAACATGTTTTACATCGATGGACGGATAAAAAGCGAAGAGGATATGTAAATCACAATTATTTATTTATACATTTTTAATTTTCCTTTCAAATGAAAATCTTATCTTTCTAGCTCAGCTATCTAGGATTAACCAAAGAAAAAAAAACACATGCTGGTTATCGAGTAAAAGACATGTCATTAATACTTTTTTTTGGAACCCTTTCAATTCTTGACACGACAAAATATGTAATGTGTTTCTGTCTCTCGAACTGTTTTAGAAATCACCAAGCTTGATGCTTCGTTAACGTTCATCAAACAGACGTCAAACTCATCTTGTAAGGTCTGTAACATTTTAACGGCCGTATTTGACGTTTTACTGTCATGTTTGTGTTTAGTTGTCCGTCAGAATTAATCGAAATCCCGATAGAAAACATAATATTTTATAACACTTAGAAAATAATAATAACATACGATACCACGCTATCGTATAGAATTGAATTTTGATAAATTATTTAGTTTGAGATACAATATAATGTGACAATTTGAGGTCAAAACCACCTAAGGTAATTTTGAAACATAATTTTCTATATTCTTCATTGCTTATATTATAAAATATAATAATATATGTACTTATAATAATAGGTCTCAAATCTCTGCGAAAAATTATTTTAAATTACAAATTCAAATGATCTTAAAAAAAATTGTGATTATTTTATCTTTAATATTTTTTAATAGCTATAATAACAACTTATGAGGGACCTTGTACAAGATTTTCAAGATTTTTTACTCAGTAAATATTTTTTCGTGGTTAAGTTAATATAGAAAAAAAATTGTACATACCTAATTGACAAATTCTATAAATAGCTCAATAAGAGTCAAAATATTTTTAATTTTACACCATGTATAGAAAATGCTAATTTTAATATAAGTTCCTATCTACAATTATTCGTTGAATCACCATGTAATAAAAATTCAATTTTGTCATAAACTAGATTTGAAAAAAAATTCTAGGTTTTTCATAATTTTTTTTGGTTTTTCCCGATTATTCAGAAACACACAGGAGTTTTTTATTTTCAACCTCACCACCACAAAAAAAAAGAAAAGAAAAATACCATCTAGAAAACTAATCATATTCACTGGTTTAAAATGTAATGGAAAAAAACACTCACACACCGTTGTAAAATCAATACATTAATCAATTCACTCAGAATCTATCATGCATATAAAATTAGCTCTTCTTCCCAATTTGTCCAATCGACTTCAAATTACCACCAAATAATAATTGTAAATTAATTGCAAATCGTCCATTTTTGAGTAAAATCAGATTATTTTGTGGTCTTTTTAAGTGGTTTGGACAAAGTGGGAGGGGGAGGGGGCTTGATGTTCATTATTATATCTGTATAATATACATATTAATGTCGGATATTTTTACATGTACGAATTAGAAAACTATCTTTATTGTTTTGGTTACTATTTTTTTCTTCTTACATTTAAAAACCCCAAAATTCTATTTTAAATACCAATATATTATTTCTATTGAATTATTTCGACTTAGCCTCACTGTTGTTGTACATTCATAAGTTATAGGTACTTACGACCTACTGCAGCCTTTAAGTATTGCTATGACGCCAATTTTCTCTGCTATTTTCACCGATGTTAAGGTTTTAATATCTTGTGGATCTCAGGCTAAAATCCAAGAGCTATTAATGTGTCAAATAAAGATAATAATTATACAAAGAAGGATATCTTATGTGTTCAGAATTAGAATCGCGGTAGACTGCTAAGACTATTTTAAAAACTACATGAAGTTAATTTAATGTCACTTCGTTTTAATCCATTTTACTTATTAATTCATAGTGACCGCTTTACGAAACAAATATCATCATAGGTAATTAAATAATAAAGCTAAATATTTCTTTTGAAGTTATCTTTGTAGGTACGTTAAACTTATATTTTATCAACTTTCTTTTATTACACATTCTAAATTATCACGTAAATAAAAACCATTAATTGATCATAATTCATAAGTAATTACTTAAATGAAAGCTAAAACGATCAAAACACTTTCTGAATTACTAATTAAGTTCAACGTATAGAATCTCTTGATAAAGAAAACAGTACATTTGCAATTATTTAAACCTATGGACTCGATTAATTAAATAACTCGTAATAATATATACACAGAATATATACCATCAAATTAATAGCTGGTGCATTCAAACAATATAAATATAGGCCAACTAGTGTAAAATCTGTGCGCTATGCGTGCTAGTAGAAGAATAATTTTTCGTTTATCTCTATAGTTGCTACGTCACTTAAACTTTAAGTTCGCAATATTATACGAAAAACTACGTAAAACGACTACACTCTTCGTTAATTAAAACATTTAATGTTTGGAATTAAAAGCTTCAAATACAAACCAAGCGCAGATAATGGACTTTCTAACTTATAATGGCAATTTGAAAATACACACGTTTTAGTATCTTGCCATCTCAGTGGTGTAAAAGTTTTATTAATTTGCATATTATATTTTCCAAAAAGTAAACATATGTCATTTTAAGTGCTCATAATTACAATTTGTAAAATATCTCATTCTAGTGTACAATATAAAATGTGTCAGAATACATTAATTTATTAAAAATGAAAATTGTAAAAATGATTTAAACAAATGAAATTCATTATGTCATGAGATCTATAACAGACATTTAAAGTACATATTTATTTTTGTTTAAGTTTGAATGACTTTAAATTTAAATTACTCAAAAATATTCAGTATAGTTTAATCCGTTTTATGACATTGGTAGGTATTTACTATTTAATACCTAATATTGGCATATTGAAAGTATAGAACATCGACAGTTAGTTAATAATAGACTATTATTATTAATAGTTATGATTTCAACAGTCTTAATAATACTACCCATATTATCATTGAGTTGGCTATAAGTAAATTTCGATTCTACAAATACAGACATATTGAAAATTCGATTACTTTTTTGAGTTCACATTTTATACTCATTTGCAGACATTTAGTATCATAGTTTAGAATACGTCATGCACTTACTTAAATTCACTATAATCACTAAAATAATTTTGTATATAAAATGTATTACGAAGTACTCTTGTACGTATTTAATTTTTGTCATCGAAACAATGTGCTCATTGATATACCCAAATCTAGTTATGAGCACTAATTAGTATCATAATTATGCTACACTAGCTGTAAAATAATCTTTAAGAGAAACTTTTTTTTCACTTTAATAAAGTAAAATAAACTTAATAAAGGATATCATTTTAGAGACTTAATTTCGATTACAATACCTATACTTTAGACTGTGTTGTATGATTATTTAGCTTATTTTGATCAGGGCAGTTAATACAT